ATGTTCCTCCACGACTACCCCCCCCCCTTCTTCGAGTGGAGCATGGGAGTCCTTACCACTCTCAGTTCCCAGTCACTGAGGTGGTAGACTATAGAGGCTTCCTCCTAAGTGTTACACTACTTATACTCATTTATCCACTCAGAAGAAGAGGGTAACACTGGTTTCCTACTGGCAGTTTCCCTGGATGTATTCTGCCTGTGCAGACCACACTCAATAAAACCAATGATCAAATATTATTTGGGGCCAGCCTACATGGGATCCCACTTGTCATTTCAGGTTCAGATTAACAATGCCCTGTTCCTATGGTTGTGTGCAGTAGACGTCTCTCTTCTCATTAATTCTGGTTGCAGAAGGTTCTTTTCTGCTTCTACGGTTGGGTTTGAGAGACTTTGTCTACCTTGTAATACCAGCAACAGGAACAGCTCTGTTCCTATGGTTAAGTGAATGCTTCTTGTCCTCCTCGTAAGTCCAGATGCAGGATCTATCTACCATGCATTTACAGTTGAGTGAGGTATGATTTTGCCCGTAATACCGGTTACAGCTTTCCCTGTCGTTATAGTTGAATAAAAGCAATGCCAAGACCCTGTAGTGTCGGGTTTGGTTTGTCACAAGTCTTGCTCCCATAGTGGTTTAGGGATTTTGTCTGGATACAACCATTTGCTCACTTCCTCTTCATAATTCTGGTTGCTCTCTGTTTTCTTATGGTTCGGGTTGTTGGGTATCGATAACACGATCCACATGCCCTAGTCACCTGTTGTTATTATATTTTCTTTTTATCTCATATGTTGATCTAGCTTGCACCATCTTAATGCTCTTACAATTGTGCAAGTATTACCTTTTCTGCCCATTTTATGTTGCTTTCCTAATTCGTGGGCAAAGAGCATACCTGTTCCAGAAGTAGTGTGGTAGTACACCCGTTCATTCTGGGTGGTTGCTTTCTGCTTGGATTGTTCTTTGTGTGCCTACACTGGCTCTCCCCCTTTGCAATGTGGAATTCTAGCCTTTTCTGTGAGAGGAGGTAAGTGTTTTGGAAGAAAATATATTTCCGATAGGTACTTACCTCCTCTCACACACTTCCCACCCTTCCTCCCTACTAAAACTGGTGTTTTTATTCTAGTTCCTGCCAATTCTTGAAAGTGGGGATTGAATGGTCTTAAATTCAGAGATCATTTATTTAAACTAAATAAAAGTGTACTTACTGTTAGAAGGGTATTTTATTGATAAATTTCTTGTGAATTGATATGCCATCATGAAGTGTAATTAAAGTTGTTGAAATATGTCAACTGGCAAGATGTCATAATTCTTGTACTGTTTTGTAGTTTTTTGACAATTATTGTTTGTCTATTACCAAGGTCAAGATTTAATCGTCATTCTAAGAATTAAATGCATTCATTTCAGTAAAGTGCACAAGTTTTTAGCCTGATCACATTACTAGGAAACCAAAAAGGCCTCAGTTTTAATTAAAAATTGTGAATCATACATGTTTAAAGAATCATGAGTTTTGTTAAAATTGAAGTGATTAAATTTTACCTTTTGGTGATAATAGTGCTAAACTAATACCATATTATTAAATTGCTACACTAAAATAATGCAGTTCTGAAAGAAGTAAAATTTGAACCCAAAAAGTTATAAGTAATATAATTTTAAATGTGAGCAAGCTTATATAATGGAAGAAAGGTGTATCCACTGAACAATTTAAATTGATATATTATCTTGTACAATTATAAAATAATATAGAGTTAAATGAATATCACAACAAGTATACAATTAAAATGATTCATTTCAATTAAGAAGTTAGTGAATAATATATTTCCAAACATCTTTTACATTTGTGTTCAATAAGTGTTAATGGTAGTACAACAAACTTTAGAAATATTACCAGGAATCTAATGAATAAAAGGTATGAAGCACAACCTGAATTCTTAATTTTGTAACCAAATTCTTACAGATGAGGAAAATTATTGGATTTACTCACATATATTAACATACTAACAATTTAACTAGGATGTTGAATAAAAGTTTACATAATATTGGGTCAGTTAAGAGTGATAAATTTAAAATAATTGACACTGTTCTTTTGATGTTTCATCATACTTTTATTCAAAAATACTGTATAAAATGTCTTTGGCACGTACACCTATAGTTTAACATTTTTGGTACACAAGGAACTTTGAATGAAGTAAAAATGGGCAAACTGTGTTGCTGACTTGAACTTGTTTATGGTTTTTATATGACCCTAGAATGTTATATACTGCAAAAGTATACATGAAGTTTTTGTTCTGACTTCATTCCAATAATTATATAATTTTTGTTTAATGATCGATCACTCACAGTGTTTGTTAAACTTGCATTGCCCTTCTTGTAATTATAATAATGCAGATTTACCAGAAAGATAAAATATAAGAAATACAAAGTTTTACCTTATGTGGATGGGTGGGAGTCAAAATGCTCATGCCATGACCTTTTATAGAATGCTATTTAACAAGATGTTATGTATTTGATATCAAAGTTATCAACTATTCATTATACCCTACATTGCTGATTTAGCAACAGTTTGTGGTAGAGGAGAATAAACACCAGATACAAAATACAGGAATACTGAAAAAAACTGTAGTGTATGGATTTCAGAGATTCCAGGGGTTATGCAGATCCAATATGCAAAGTGTATACAATAGACAAAAGTATTCTTATACTTTACATAAACATCCCCTTTCTTGACAGTTTGTCAGAATATCTCAGCAATTCACAGACAAATATTTTAGTAACACATCTAGTTATTTGTGTATAATAGACTTGTACAGTTTGCTAAATGCTTGCAACATTCTGTATAGATACACATAGTAAATTCAAAGTTTTATTCAACATTCCTTCTATAGTATCAATTCCATGGACATTAAGTTAAAAAGATGAATAAAATTACAACAGTGTTTGGCTCTGTGTTGGACAGAATTTTAGGTGACTAATTGCAATTTTTATGTAGAATATAATGCTGAGCCTATTTTTTTACTCATTGGTTATATCTCAAACAAGTTATACTCCCCCCCCCCCAAAAAAAAGGAAGAAAATATCTTGAGATCTTAATAAATGGTGTAGATAAGAACTGGGTCGAGAAATTCTAATTATAAACAAAACTAACATATAACCCATCAAAAATGATGGGGCAAGTACTACCACCCCCACCCCATAACCTCACATTTCATAGCTAACTGAAATAAATAAACTTTGCAAAATCAAGCTTGACGAACAAAAGGCAGAAAAGTGTGGTTGAGGCAGTCAAACATCAGTAAGTTCCTTTGTGAGCCAATGAAAATTAAGGTCATTCATCAAATAAATTCATGGTATATTCACAGAATAATCATTGGTAAAAATCAGTTAGGTTAACAACTTCTAATATATAGAAAAGCCAGTGCATTTTGTAACATTATGTTCCAACAATGGCTTTTATGTCATGTTGCTTAATAACAAAAGTATAACCTAATATTGTTGTTAGTTTATGTACTGAAGGTATAAAATAAAATCTATAGACAACAAAACTGAAAACACTAAATGTTTGTTGATTTCTTAATGTAGAGTCTCCATTTATTAAAGAGGTTTTGTTTTTTATTAAAAGCTTTGGGGATATAACAGAAAATAGTTTAATTCAGAAAAGACTTAGGTTTAAAATTGAACGATACGCCAAGTGCATAAAATTTATCATGAAAGTAAAAATTATAGGCTAGGTGTTCCCACACTACGTCTTTACTTGAGGCTTATTGTACCAACACTCACTACACTTATAAGGTTTCACGTCCCACTTGCACCCCCGTTACTAAAATCGTAATGGACAGACAGTAATTGAACTGTTCTATCTGGATAAATGCATTTTGGCTTTTACGATTTCTCCTATTTCGAGAAATCAAACGTAATGTGACGTGACACACATTGGCTTTTATATAGGTTAGATTGTAGTCAATTGTATGGTATGATATCAATACCTGAGGTCATATTACAAGTGCAATGAAAAAAACTGGCGAAACTGATATGATATTAGCAATATATATTATCACTGAATTATAAAAATAAAATAAATGTTCACTTATCAACCTACTTCATTGAAATTGCTAAAAAAGAGGGGAAACAAGTAATAAAATAGTTTGCAAAAATGAAGTGTGATGTACGGATGACAATGCCTAAAAGTACAGAAATAAGGTAGAGATGAATACTTAAAACCATACAGAAATAATTAAATAAGTAACCAAATCTTTCCAAGAACAACTTTTATCTACAACTAAATGTTGAATTTCTGTCAGTTGCATGAATTCAAGTTTGAATAAAAGCATTAAACTGAATAGAGCCATACAGTCTTACAGTGGCTAATAACCATAAGTTTGTAAGATTGGCTCAGTACTTACTGGCTACTTATGTAGGGATTTTTGTATGGTTTTGTGTATTCATCTCGACCTTGTGTTTGTATTTTTGGGCATTGCCATCCCTACATGATATATAATTTTTGAAAAACTGTTTATATTACTTGTATAAAAATATTCAGTTAAACAATTATGTAGTACGACTATATTACTGGGGGTTAAATGCCCTTTATAAGAACGATGTTCTAGATTTTGTGCTAAATTAGAACCATTTCCTTCATTACTCTAATTCTGAAGGACATGATTACACTTTATCGCGCTGTACAGGTTCATATGTTTCATCATATGAGTAAATTTATATATTTGCTTTTTATAACACTCGCTGTAAAGGACTGACCCAAAACAACTGGGTAAAATCACTTATTTTCTAGGTAAAAATCTATGGACCCACAAGCAATTTCACGAAGAAGTAGTTTAGCAAAATGTGTTTCAAAAATGGGTGATTGGATCTTGTTCCCCATCGATAAATATACGGTTAAAACCTTGTTATACGAATATCATTCCTCGGAAATGGCTGTGTCATTATTTCCGGCTATAAGACAATCCGTGGTGACAATGCACAGAAATGCGCCATGAACCAAACATATAAGTGTCGAACTGCTAAACATGTCGCCTATGGCGCCACACCATTGCATTAACATCTGCAAATAAGTTTGTGAATTACAATTATAACCTATTGTAAGAAGTTCAGCTGAGCAATCTTTCAAGACTTAATTAAGTTGGTTTAAATAAAAAATTAATCTGCATTCTAATCAAAAATCTCTAATGGGCTAGTTAAGAAAGATAAGGTTATTTATATTAAAAGTATTAAAGTGATGTTTACCCTACTTTTATTCTAAACGCGCGGATTCATAATTCGTCAGCTTGTTAGTTATATCAATACAATGCCGAAAACCTCATTTTCTACCTCTTTCTCAGTGCCAAGTTATTTAATTTTTGTACAGTTCCAAAAATTGAAAGTTCAAGAGTCTATAGAATCGCAGTTCTTAGTTTATATTTACCATGTTGTCTCTGATATAAGAGGAATACTATTTTAACCCTTATGTGCAATCATAGCAAATTTAGAAAAATATTTTATGTTAGTTATTACATCACGTGTTAAATACAATATTTTAGCATGCGATAAGAATACTGTGATGGAATTATTTGAAAAGCTTTGTTTGTTCCTTTATTTTAAAGAAAAGCCACATTGGGCTATCAGCTGTCTCCACCACGGGTAATCGAACCTCGAATTGTAACGTTGTAAGTCCGTAAATTTACCACTGTTCCACCGGGGAACATTTGAACAGACAGAATGATGATTAAGATATTTAAACACCTCTCATTTTAAAATAATTAATTTTAGGCCATGTATTTCATAAACACAAACTAAAAAGTATTGAGAATCAGTAGTTATGTTTCTTAAGCATATATCTATAAATATACACTTACCGCTAGGAGTGGCATACATTTATAATAGTTCAACTTTGTTCAAACTTAACTTATCCAACACGGGTGCAAATTTTTATGTATTTATTTCAGTATTCGGTTTATGCTATTCGCATCATTATTTCCTTTAAAAAGTGGCCGTTTTTATATTTATTTTATCATTAACGTTACCTTAGATTTCGAACTAAAAGAAAGTAGTTTTTTTCACAAATGGTTTTTATTTTATCTTTATTTTACACAAATTGTCACTTAGAAAGACAAACTATGTACAAATAGAATACTTGCTAAATATCAATTAATGCATTCATGAAAAAGAAGCCATATTAAAACCACACTTCACAAAACAAATGGTAATTTGTAATATATCTGTGACAAGGGGGGAAAACCACTGTTATAAAATATTGTCATTGATCTTCCTGAGAAGAAATACCGCATCTGATAATCAGTCTTGTGATCTGTAATACATTGGTAATGCAATCTGTGACATACATATGTGTGTCCCTCGTTTGTTACTTTGAACTCAATCACGTAGTTTCAGATTGTTCATAAACAATTGCTGGACCTCAAAAAAAAGATATTAAAATACGCTGCACCTTTTGATGTTTCGCTCATGTGGAGAGCCATGAGACGAATTATCATTAACTGTATAAAACTGCTTCCATGTCAATAGTACAGTTGTCCGTACACTTAAACAAAGCAAACTATCATCTTAACTAAAGCAGGCAACAGCTATATGACCATTCCGTTTCGCTACAATCATAGGGAAACTTCTTCGAGACTGAGTAAGATGTATGTAGTTACAACTTGATGCCATCTTAGTGTACAAACACTTAAAAACAGACTCCTCAAGACCAGACATCCAGTGAGACGCATCTAACACACAGCAAGACACAAAATAACTTGCTTGAAACAGTGCCTTGATTAGATAATAAAAAAGAAATACATTTCATTTCATGGGGGCCCCCAGTGGCTAAGCGGTAAGTCTGCGTATTTATAACGCTAAAAATCGGGTTTCGATATCCAGGGTGGACAAACATAGATAGCCCAATGTGTAACTTTGTGTTCATCTACAAACAAAAACATTTCGTGAAATTACTTAGTTGTCTCTATCTAATCCTTTCTTCTATTAAACATATCTGATTGTTTGCAGTTTAAGCAACATAATGGGCTATCTGTGCTCTGCCCACCGCGGGTATCGAAACCCGGCTTCTAGCGTTGTAAGTTCGCAGACATACCGCTGTGCCACTGGGGGGCATTAAACATATTAAGAACTTCATCACGATGGACATTTCAAATTGTGTTTATTTGCGTGTTGAGTATGATCGTTGGGGTTTTTCATATCAAAGCCTCCCTCTTGACATTCACGATTAAAACATATATTCTATTTTTCTCGTAGTAGCGAAAGAAAACCATAGTTTTCGCTCAAATAAAACAAAGGTAGTGGTTTTTAATCCTGTCAAATTACTACACAATGGGCTATCTTTGCTTTGCCCACCACGGGTATGGAAACCCGGTTTCTAGCGTTATAAGTCCGCAGAAATACCGCTGTGCCACCGAGAGCTATTTTTAAATACTAAGAACACTTGCGTTCGTTTTTTCTTATTTTGATTAGTTTTCTGATTTAAGCGGATGATGATTTATACACACATTATAATATAACACACAAGTACTATACACATTAACATTTAAGAAGACTAAATAAAGACAGTGACAGTATAAAGCTCGCGTCCCTTCGTAAATTATCCATACTGTTTATACGGATTTACAGAGAAAACGTTTTTATTCCACGACGTTTCACTGCAACTTAATCTGGCATCATCAGGTGATTTTCATGAAACGATTAGAATGTTTGATCTATAAATCCGTAAAAACAGTATTTAAAATCACTTACAAAAGTACTCTTTATAAATTTTAATTCGAGTTACGTTTCGTAAGTTGTTTAAATGTTATTTTTGGAAACTTTCCATTTTTTTCTTAAATAACGTGTAAAAAAAGTTTAATAATTTAGACTTCAAAACTAATAACTTCGCCGATAAGCGAATCTGTTATCTTCAATTATTGTAAAACAAGACCGGGATTGTCAGTGCTGTAAGAAATCTCTTCTGTCAAAAATACAGAAGTATTTTGTAGCTAAAGAGGTATTATTAGAAATATTTATTATGTATAAGGGTATAAAAACTTTCTGTTACTATAGAACTCATACTTTCAAAATCATCGAAAACGTTCTTCTTCGGTTCCGCCGGGTGTGACCTAATGGTTAGCGTGTCGAGTTGTGGATAGAAGGCTCAAGTTTCGAGCCACGAAAACCGCTGAATTTGCTCCATATTTTCAACAATTATGGAGCCGATATAACTGTAGCTGTTATTCTCGCTATTAACTTTAGGATAGCCGGATGCTGCTGATTAGTGGACTGCTATCTAGTTGTCCTCCCTCTGGTTAGTAGTCCTAAATTAAAAATGGCTATGCTTGAACCTTAGGGGTCCATATATTACATAAAGTGACGTTCAAGTTGAAAATATCAATACCTATCAGATATTTTCCAAAACGCTTTACCGGTTACTGAATATGTAAGAATAAACATTTAATTCCATTAATTCGAGGATGTGGGGTTAAGAGCATCGTTTATAGCGATAATTTTATGTGGGAAGTCTGAAGTCCTTAGTTGATAAAATTTGTATATGTATATTAATATTATTTAATATACTAGCTACACTAAATCATTACTTTATATGGTCTACAGGCTCGATACGTACACCATATAATAGTTATTGTTTGAAGTTTTTTTCCAACAGGATGAACGTGACCTATAGTGCTTATCGTCGAGCTGCAGACCACAAAGTTTAGAGTTCGAAACGTGATGTTGCTGAATACGCCCCGCATCTTAACTGTGGACGCGTTTGAAAGTCAATCACATTATTAGGTTCAAAGAGGCGAACAAAATCCCAGTGGCAGCGGGTGCTGTTGGCTGGATGCCTTTCCTCTACCTAGAAGCTCAAAATTAGGGAACTGGTTGTTTAGTCCACGTGTCTTACAGTCTTGGCCAAAATGTTTGAATACTTTTCTATATTGATGTTATTGTCTACATGCATGGCGTTATTATTAATTAAATGCTCGGGTAATAACAGAGAAGGTAGCGTATGATCCGAGTTAATATTCTGGTCTGTATAAGTTGTTTTGGCATTTGTTCGCAAAAACACACATACATACCTGTTTTGTATAAAAAAGTGTGCCTTTAGTAAAAACTTTTTCGAAACAGATCAACGCTTTGTTCAGACAGTTTCTCTGTACGTGATGTAGAGTCATGCCCTGTCGCATACCAGTTATAGTTATAGTTAAAGTTATAGGGCGCCAAAT